TGCCCGTAGCACCCTGGGCTTACAGTCTGTGGGGAGGTGTTTCCCGTGAAAGGTATTTCAAAATTAGCTCCTCCGCTGGAAGTAAGTAAATAATGGTCACTGCTTGAGTGTTCTTCTTCGGGTTCTTTCTTTTCTTCCAGTGTTGGAATGCCTTTTGTCTCTTGGATCAGCCTAGGGTTTATTGAGTGCCCTCAGCTAAATGTTTGTAGCACCGACACTGAACCGTGCCGTGCTGCCCCGAGCAAGGCACAGGTGGGCGGTGGTCCCGGACCTCTTGCCCGCGGGGCTGCGGGCTCAGGTGCTTGGTGCATCTCCTGCAAAACGTATAGAAAATGGTAGTGTAGTGCTACTGCAGTGTCTGTCTTTGAGGTGTCTTCAGGGGAGAACGGTGCACCAATTTACAAGAATAATTTAGCTACCGGTCTGTCTTTGAGGACCCCTGAGACTGTGGGTGGACTTCTTATTTAGCCAGCATTGTTCCCTCTGAACACTAAACCCTTTCCTAGATTGAGCACTCCTTCACTGAAGATCAAAGTAGGAACTAGTGCCTGAGTGGGGGACGAGTGGTTTTCTTCTCATTGTTCTATTTTCTGGGAAAACGTGTTTGTGTAACTTGAAATAGCAAATATTTCTTCACAGAAAGTGGCTATTGTTACTTGAACTACTTTCAAATACATTTGATATTCTACATTTGGAAGTATAAAATGGTATATATTTAAGTAATCTCCAGGATTACTGTTGAAAATAGATGATGGGATTTGTTTCTTTTCCTTTTTTTTTTTTTTTAGGCTACATTTCTTGGTCTCTTTACCATGCACTGCCACCAATGATCTATTACTTCCCCCTTCAGACACTGGCTCTCACAGGTCTAGAAGTTTTTGCTGTCGCCTTCTTTTCTCCAATATTCTTGATAATTGGCCCTTTTTGGAGGTTGGCTAACAATAAGTACATCCTAGCCCTTCTGAGACTGACTATGATTGGTAAGTATGCACTGTCGTGAGTTATAGATTGCATCTTGGTATCAAGGCATAAGAATAAACATTCCAAATTGCCTCAAAATTCAGGTGATTCTGAAAAGAGACAGGAATAAGGAATTCTTGCTCTCCCGAACTCATGCTTTTCTTTTTTTCTCTCAAGCTTTTAGATATGGTCAGAGGAATATTATTTGCATCCATTGTGTTGGTTTTTAGACCAGTACTGCATAATTAAAGACAAATCTCATTTCACTTTTATTTCTAGAAGCTTTTAAATTAATACAAGTCATGCCCAATAGGAAAAAAGTTTTTGATATTGCACAGAGATCGGCAGAGCAGGTGTCTTTTGTATAGCAGTTCTGTGTCTGTGACAATGGGTAGGGAAGAGACATTACAGAACAGCTTGGGGCTATTATAAAAGCAATCTGCTGTGAGTGAAACATTCTTTTTGGTAGACTTACTATCTGAGGCATTTTTTTTGTTTTGTTAAAGAATATATATTTTTAAAAATTTGTTAAATGTATCTATATGCCTGTAGCATATTGATGGGGTTACAGGTTCATCCTGAGTGTGAGATGGCTCTCGTATTGTCAGTTGCACAGTAATAAAGTTTGATTTTATATTTGAGATAAAACTGCCTCACTACCCATCCCACATGCTCCTCCCTGAATCAAGACTTGCTGGGATTTCCTCTTTGGTCTTCAGCTAACTGGTGCAAGTCCTAGCTCTTGTTGGTTTTCTGAAAGTTTGTTGGGAGAAGGTTTGACAGCTACAGTCACATACAGAAGCAAGTTATTGCTAATGAGTTTGCAACACCTGAATGAACTCAGAAGAGACAAAGGTCTCCATCCTGTGTACAGGGAAAATGCTGCTGCTAACCGGTGTCTTTCAGAAGCAGCAGTTTCTGGCTTCTCTTTCAGAAGCAGCAGTTTCTAGCTTCTCATTTATAAATATAAGATGATGATTAGAAAATCACTTTCCATATAATTTTCTTCTTTTACTGGTAGAAGACAGAACAGGATCATTTAATTTACTTTCTCTGCAGAACTTTAGTTTTAAAAAGAGTTCTTGTTTTTTATCCCTTAAAAAGATACTAGGACTGAACATAGCTCATTGCTTTCATCAGTTTAGATGAAGCATAGTTTTACCATGTTCTTTTCTTTTCTACTCTGTCATATCCATCCTAATACTTTTCTGTTGGTTTTAATAAGCTTTTCAGTGAGCAGTGTCTTCCACTTCAGCTTTCTGCAGCAGTGCTCAGTGCGTTGCTTTCTACAAGATCGGCTAATTTAGAAACTAGTAATGAGTGTAAGCATTACAAATTGCACCTTGCGTTCCTTCAGATACCTCAGTAACAAAAAATTTAAGATTAGTCCTTCAGATCATCTTGCTGTGTTTACTAGTTCACTTTGCCAAAAGAGATGGAAATCACTTAAATGTGTGTAATTTTTGTTCTGCTAAGTAGAGAGCAGTGGCCTATAATGATGTGTAAAGTCTGTTGGTTTATGCCTGTTTGTCTCACCTGAATCGCGAGCTCCTGAAGTTCAAACAAAAGAACTACAAATAAAAAGCTAGCACCTTCAGTAGTAATCTGGGGAAAGAATGTGTTAATGGAGGTGGTCACAGAAGGACTCCAGAGCATGGGGAGACTGAATCTGTACACATCCCTACTTTTGGGCTAACCTGAGCATTGCTGTACACAGGTATGACCTCCCCTTCTTATATCCCTCTGCTGTTTCCATCTCCCAAACGGTCCTAATACTGTCCACCTCTTCGCGAGTCTGCACCATATTCTCTCCCAGCTCTGCCGTACTTACTCTGATTCCCCTTACCTGTTGCTCCACAGCGAGCATCAGCATTTGGGGAAGATGTAAGAGCGTGTTCCTCACCCTCTTTGTCTCCAGAAAAGAGTTTAGCACCAGAGGTAACTCTCACTCTTTTCTTGCCTCCTTACTGCAGGTTCTCAAACCACTTTAAGTTATCCAGATGCCCTTGCACAGGCAGCACTGGGCTTTAGGACTTTCCATATATATCTTTTTACTTGTTTCTCATCACTTCATTATCTTTTAAATTATTTCTGTGTTATCACACTGTGTGTCTGTTTCTCCTATTCCTCAATTATTCCTGCTTTCTTTCCTTCTTCATACCTGACATGTCTTCCTTCTTTCTCTTTTTGATCTTTTTTTTCCTTCTCGGAAAGCCCATGGCCTTCCTCTGGGGCTTGTTGAACAAATAATCTGGGCAGAATAATCCACCCCATTTTACTGGAAATATTCAGTCTTCAATTTCACAATCAAAAAATCTGGAAATTCTTCATGCTTAGCTAAAACCAGAATATTTAGGGTTTTTTGATGGAAAAGGCTCTTCCCATAGTTGTCATTATCTTTCTTTTTGCCTTTTCAGAAAGCTTTATTTTCTCAGAAACTTTTGTTTTAATTTCTGTATCCTTTCATATTACTTGATTTTCTGTGCTATTTGAAAAAACCAAAACAAACCAAACAATGAACTACCCCTGTGGTAGTGTCCATTTCAATCTGTCTTCAGACAATATGCAGTAAATTTGTATGTTTGGATAGATGTATTTACGTTTTGGGTGTACTTGCTCAGCAACAAAAGGTGTGTCTCCTGTAAGTAGGCAAACCCACGCGAGCTTTAATCTGGCTAGCACAAGTGATGAAAGATTGAAGAGGCAGAGTTGTGGATTTCAGCGCAATTTAATGACAGAAATCTGTGTGCATTGTACATGCAGCCTCTGCTAAAGTCCGTACAAGTGCATCTTTACTACACATTGAATTCATTTTACCATCTGTGCTGTAAGCTTTGCATCTTTTACTCGGAGCAGAATGTGCAAAGAGACAGTTGGAGGATTCCTAGCATGCATTGCCAGAATCAGCAGCTCCATTTCTGGCTTTCCTTGCTTAACATCTCTTCAAGTTTGACTCATACTCACTTAGCAAATGGCTGGTAGCAAAACAGTGTTGCTTCTTCTGCTGTTTGTCATTTGTCCTGGGCCAGAATTTGTCACACTGACTGAAGTTATGAGAATGTGTGTGACCCATAGTCAGTTGAATTGGAAACCTGCTAGCAGAGTTTAAAACTGCTGATAAAGGTGAGGTCACTGTGCCCTGGGGAATGGTGAATGCCGTGCACGTGCATGGTCTCTTTCAGCGATGGGGGAGTGACAGTTTCCAGTAGCAAGATGACATAGGCAGCTAATGACCACTCTGAGACCAGATACTGGGCAAGAGAAAGCCTTGTTCACCTCCAGTAAGGCGATCCCCTACTAATCCTTGTGACAGTGTATGGATAGGGCTTTTGCCACAGTGCACTTTTATGCCTTTTGAGTTATGTAAATGCACTGTGGCAAAAGCCTTATCCTTTTTAGAAAGGAGCAGTCACCATATGTAAAGTTTTATGGCTTTTGAGTTATGCAAGTGTGCTGTTCAGGAATATCTATATGCTTAGATATTTTATCCATCTATCCTTTTTATGAAATTAATGACTGTAAGTATTTAAATTAAGGCAGTCACCGCAGCCTTGGATAATCACTTATTTTTTTTTTTTTCCTGAAAATGGTAACTGCTATAATGTCATATATATGCAGTTTCTATCCATACCTTCATTTCTTTGGTTTGTTTAAAAATGTGTAGTGTCATGTGTTTTCAGATGAATGGTGTAGCCATTCAAATTACAGACAAGATTGAACTAATACACAGGAAATCCTTATTACTTGATCCCTGTTGCCCATTAAAGCAACCTCTGTGTGTGTGTTGTGTTTGCTTGTAGGAAGCTTAGCATCATACCAGGCGCCAAATGCTTCAATTAGACTGTTCATCTTGGCTGCAGGTGTTTCCTCCTCATTGCTGGTTCAAACAGTAACATGGTGGTCAGGAAACAGTTTACAAAGGTATTTTTTTATACTGATGGGGTTGTAAATGACATTTCTTTACATTAAAAGGTTGGGGTTTTTTCTGAGAAGATTTTTTTCCTTTTTTTTTCTCAAATACATCACTATTCCAAAACTGATTCTTATAGGTTCGTCAGGATATGGGGCTTCATGCTAGGCAAGATAATGCTCCTTGTCCTTCGCATCTGGTGTACTTCACTAAATCCAGTCTGGAGCTCACAAGCTGCCAATACTGTCATACTGACACTTGGTTTTATAGCAGCACTGGAGCGAATTTATTCAGGTAAGCATATTACAGCAAAGATGGCAGTTATGTAAACATCCTAAGTTATACCTATCTATGTTTCACTGGGTTTTGATTCTTTGTTGTGGTTTGGTTTTTTTTTCCCCAGTACAGTGTGGTTTTAGACCTGATGCATGAGCATTGCAGACTTTAGAAACCGTGGGGTACTTCCATCCCCCCATAACATGGCAGAATCAATATCACAATTCATACAACCTGTAGTAAATTGGTGTTGGAACTGCCAACTAATTGCAGTATCAATAATGCGACAATAACACAAACAAAGACATACCCTAGACCAATAAAACCAGAATGGGTTATCTTCATTCCAACATGAAACATCTGTGGTATTTCTGTTACTTTCTTAATTCAGTCTATTCTTTGAGTTTCTCTACCAATGTGTATCCTTTAGCAGAGAAGGGAGACAGGGCAAAGTTGGGGAACAACTGGTGTGACAAAATAAACAGAAAGAATTGAAAGTGTGGATGAGTTGTCCTGGTCAAAATTTGCCTGAGTTCTTGGAGCGTCTGGACAGAGTACATAGCAGTAGGGGCTGACGGGGCTAATCACACTTGAAAACTGGGAAGGTAGTGTTGTCAAGACAGACAGCAAGGTTAGACTGGTTAGTTAAGGCAGCTCATGTTAAATTCTCAAAAGTTCCTTCCTTCTCAGTATAACCTGAATGAATTAATTGGAAGATAAGACCTTATCTATGTGTAAGTGGGTATAAATTGGCATCATGTGTATTGTTTGTAGACTGGCATTACATGATATAAATAAAGCCTGAGCTTTCATCGTAATTTAGAAAGAGAAACTACTGTAGAAGATTAGGAAGGGAATCTGTTTTCTTCCTAGGTGACAGAGCAATATGTCTATGCAATTAAAGGCACTGCTTTCTCCTTAGAGCAGAGAGGATCTAAAATTCACGGAAAAAGGAAAAGAGAAGGGAGTCTATTTCTGGCTTCTTTGGAAGTGTCAGGTTTTGTTCTTATCATGTTCTTACCAGTTTAGAGTTTCAGAGAATAGAATCCTCTGAACAAATTCTAATAACTCTTCTGCTGAGTTTCAAAGCTATTTTAATTATTTAAATTCCAGTAGTATGAAGAATTATCATGTGGGCAGGTTGCCATTTTTGTACGCTTAATGTGAGTAGCTTTTCCTGACAGACCTAGGAATGTTATCAGAGAATTTTTTTGTCTTACCAGTTTCCGTGAATGATCAGGTAGGTTAGCTTTTGTGTCTGAGCCAGTAATTTATTCTGGTAATTTTGTGATCTTGGTTGGTTATTTTTCTCAGTAACCCTTTCTAATAGGATTTGACAGTTTGCTCAGCTATGTTTCTCTTCTGATTCTAGGTGGAGACGAGAGGAAACAAGAAGCAAACAAAACTGGTAATGCAGTTAGAGAGACTGTTTCCCACCCTCATTGGCTTTTGTCAGGGATTGCTTTTGGCAGCCTCATGTTCCTCACCCTGTGGATATTTGGGGAGGTCTCACTAATTTCTAGATGGGCAGTAAGTGGACATCCACATACAGGTCCAGATCCTAATCCATATGGGTAAGTGCTTTTTTTTCCCCCAATTATAATTATTTAAACAAAGCAGTAATCAAAAGCCAGTGCTGTAGTGGGTGACAAAATAAAACTCAACCAGCTGATGGTACAAGAACTTACATGGAATAAAGTGGGTACAAGGTACTTTACACAGATGACTTGTGGATTCATTCTTGCTTTCAGATGTCTCTGAGCATTGTATCTATACCAATAAATCTTAATTTTTTCTAATACAGAATTATTTTTATTTCAACAATAAAAAACTTGATTTGCCACATTGCAAAACAACTTTTAAATTAGAACTGAAGTTCAAGGACTTATGAATGAAGTGCATCTATAATATGCAGTAAATGAATCTAGCAGTTGACTTCAGAGAGGAGATGGGAGGAAATAGCATACATCAGAGATGCATGCAGATAAAAAAAAGTAAACTGCATGCAGTATTAAAAAATATGCTTCTGTAGAAGTTTTGGTTAGTAAGAATTTAGTCTTAATTCTGTATGTTGCTCACCCAGGTTCCAAAATCTAGAAAGAGACCGGATTAGTTATTCTGAGTCAACTACATGTAGTGGCAGGTGAGGTAGTTAATAATTTGGAATTAGTATAAACAAGAGCTACCCAAGATTGATAGCAATGTTAGGTGCTGTGGGATCCTCTATTTGAAGTGAAGAAAATGCTTCTGTTTGGGGTGGATTCCTCCCTCTCTTTTTCTCTGAGTTGTTTTTGCCTTTTGTACCCAGTACTTCAGTGGAGTGCTTCTGCTGCTGAACATAGCTCATACATACCGTACATTATGATAAACTGCCATTATTTTCAACTGGATGTTTTTTACATCCAGTAAAGGAGAGAAAAATGTAGCAGGGTGCGAGATAAAGATATTTTGTGCTCAAATTGAGCTCTGTTTAAAATAAAAGGATTATAAAATATTACCAAGCATCCTTGTCTGTGTGTCTAGAAGTTTCTTTTTCAGCGACAGGTGTTTATAACATTATGTGTGATTTCTTTTTCCTTATTGTTGTATTAGAGGTACAGTTCTGTTGGGCCTGGCTCATGGACTGATGCTTTCATTTTGGAGCTGGTCTTCTGTCACCAGTTTTGCCTGGTTTCTTGTAGGTAGGCACAAATCCTGAGCAGTATTTTTGTTTCTATTACCTTATTCCCTTTACTCCAGCCCTCTGACCCTACACCACATCTCAGAAAAGTCAATTGCTAATCAAAGCATCTTTTTCTCTGTCACTGACTGTAGTATGCACTTGTCTGACCAGTTTTGACTAAGGGTTACAGGCTAAATCTCCAGGCCATTGCAGAGCAGCGTTGTGGAGGGTGTCCCTGCCCGCAGCACGGGGGTTGGAACTAGATGATCTTTGAGGTCCCTTCCAACCCAAACCATTCTATGATTCTGTGATTCTATGATTCTCTTCAGAAACCCCTGTTGAGGTTCTGTTCCCAAGAGTAGTGTCTCAGTTCTCACCATCTGCATTGTGTAAGGCTACATCTAGGGTTATGGGGTTGAGAGGATGCAAACCTCTTGATTCCGCAGGAGGCACAATAGCTTGTAGTTTAATGGGCAGTTCATCTGGAGGTAAGCTTGCCTCCTGCCTCCTTAGTTGCCAAGATCTCCAGGCAGTAAAATGGTATGACCATCAAAGCAGTTCTGCTGGAGCAATATATCTGTGAATCAGTCTGCATACAGTGGGTCTTGAGTGGTGGGAAGAGGGATTCAAGTGCTGGATCTGGACGTGCATTTTTCAGGAGGATGGTGTAGCTATGCTGGGGAGCAAGCTATGCATAGACCAAGTAGGAGGAGATGGAAATAATCCTGCTCTTGAACTGTGGAGAGATGTGTTTTCCATACCTTCTCAGCATGGATGGATGCAGCTTGGTTTAATTTGTAGGCCCATCTGAGTGAAATTTAGTGATATAAATGCTGTTTAATAAAAACATAAATCTGCTGCTTTTTTGGCCTTAGCTAATTGTAGATGTAGAAGCAGTACTTCCTACAAATGTTTAATAATAAATTGGGACATACCAAAATACAGAGACCAAAGGAAACAATGAGTTATGTTTTGCTTTTTTCTTATTCACCTTCTCTTTTGGAACACTTAAAAGCCACACTTTTAAGTCATTTTCCACAACCTTGAAGACAAGAAGTTTAATGCTAACTGAGTTTATCTTAGTCAGGAACCAAAATACAATACCAAATATCAGGAAAGTCACAACAGAGGCACAAGAGTTGGCAATGCTTAAACAATCAGTTGCTCAGGTGTTAGTTTTAAGAAATATGTGTGCAGATTGTAATGTGAGTATGAACATTTGATTTTTTGATGTACGCACATTGCTAATTTAAAACAAGTACAGAATGGTTCTTTAGCTGATTCAAGCATTGTATTCTAAAATGTTCGGAACCTTGATGCATAAGAGTAAGATATTAAAAATGTTTCTATACATTTGCTATCATGATGTGAAAGTTAGTAAACATTTTCTTACCTACAATAAATTTTTTAAAATGAAGTTGTCCTGTTACGTAGAGTTTCTGTGGTTGTTAATGTTCTGTTTGGGGTCAAATCCCATCACAGTCAAAGACAGTGTGGTAAATCAAGGATCTTGCAGTTAGTAAAAGATTAATAGTTGTTTTCTTGCCCATCATATGGTTATCTAAAGGGAGAGAAAATCAGGGAAGGATATATTTTCTCTTCACTGTAACCTATTTAATTCTTTCTGTATTATGCTAAAGGAGGTTCATAATCTGTTAAAAACTGCATCATCCCTGTGTTGTGCTGTGAGAGCTCTGTGTAACAAAAACTGTTCAGTTTTGGCTCTTGATGATGTTTCTCTGCTATCTTTTTGCTGCACTGTTTTCAGCTGAGTAGGCAATCTTTAAGAGAATGAGGTATTGGGAAAAGTAAGAGACTGTCTTTGGCTTTTGGGAATAACTGTCCTTCTAGTGATGCAGTTCTCAGGGCTGTAAAGCACAGTTACATTTCTTTTTTTCCTTGAACAGAATGTGAAAAAGAAGGTGGCAGACAATATACCTGCCGGTGACTTACTCTGTTCTTTTCTATCCCTTCACAGGTTTAGCATCTTCAGCCGGTCTCCTTTATTTACACACCTGGAGTGCTGCTGTTGCAGGCAACATTCTTGCTGTCTTTACTATGTGTGTGTGGCCTCAGCTGGCTGGACGCTTTGTTAGCTGCCTGCATCCTGGGAAAGCCATGAGTACAGCCATGTTTGCCTATGTTCTTGAATTATTCTTCTCTGTGTGGTGTACAGCTTATAAATTTGTACCTGGTGGAATTTACGCTAGAGAAAGCTCCCATCTTCTTTTAGGTACATTTATGACTATAAACAAACACAAATATGTTTGCTTTAGCCTCAACCAGATGTTTAAAATGTATCTAGTGTATAAATAATCTTTCCAAATGCTCAGCTTCTATTTGATGTACTGTGGAAAGAGTTTCTATGAGAAAATCAGTAAGACTTGCAAAAAATAATCTACTTGTTTCTTTACTGTTAGAGATAGTTTAAAATGTGGACAGAAAATGGAATTCAGTTGAGGGAAAATGACAAAGTGAAAAAAAAAGTCTGATAATTCAATACACAACTGAGGAAGAGATCTGTTAATCAGTCACCCTAATAATATGGCTGCAATCCAGAGTGTGAATGTACCTGTATGCTAGCTGTCTAAGATAGCAGTATGGTACCTCAGGTAACAATGCAGTTTCTGGAAACTCAGGGGTTTATGAAGACTGTGTTACTGGGACCATAATGTAATTCAGTGCATTATTTAGCTCTGCTCTGAGGAGCAAAGTGCAGCATCCTGCTGATCTAGCTAGTCTGCATTTGAGACCTGAGCTTCGTTTCCATGTGGCTCTACCTTATGCTTTGTGGACACACCGGCATGTTTGGAGGAATGTCAATAAGCCTGCAATGTCAGAAACATGCAAACAGGAGAGGAAGAAAAGGCATTTTCAGGTATTTGCCAATGAGGAAGAGTTGAGGTGAGCAAATATAAAGGTTTTAGCAAAATGATCCCTTGATGACGGTGGAAATGAAACCAACCCTTTCTGGTTTTGTCTCCAGAATTATTTTCTTAATGGGTACTAATGTGTTTCAATAGCATATTTTACAAATTATATTTAAACAGTGCCAAACATTGTCTTGGGCTAAATGTGTGGCACATTTTAGCATGTGCTGCATTATCCTATCTTTTGTTTGAGAAGCATTAATGAATGCTGGTGCTTGACTTGTTGCTCCAGTGGTTTTAGATTTCATAAATGTCTTTGCAGCCACTTTCTGTCACTCCAGTTTCTTAGTCTCCATATGTGTTTCATATATTACAGCAATCACGTGCAGGGTTTCAGTTTGTTATGATTTGAGGAGAGTTCAGTTACGTTTATTGCAGTTTTCTTTGGTCTGAAAGCACTCTGAGGGCCCATAGAAACAGTTATCTCAGTTAATTTAATTTTATTTTTCGAAGTTATGTGAAAAAAGCATGTGTTAGAGGAGCATCAAATCCTTTCTTGAGTAATGCTTTGAGAAAAGACAAGCTGTTATATAAAATCCCTGTCACTTCCTTTGAAATACACACTTGTGCTTAATTCACCTGGCATGATCACGGGATAGTAACACAGAGATGGCCCTAACTTTCTCTTTGGTAAAAAGAAAACTGAACTGAACCCATCTTAGCTGATGGTGCTACATGAGTTTATATTCCATCTAAGAATTCAGTTTCTGTCTTTTTGATGCCATCCCATTGCTTATCAAAGATTTGCAAATTATACTGCGAGATTGTGTATTTGTTAGTGGGCTTCTACCCTTACAGCTTGGCTTTCCGGCAAACTGCTTGTTTTCTTCTGGTTTCTTTCAGGTGCAAGTGCTATTTCTTGCTTTCTCCTCCTGTCCCATATCCTGCCTTTTTCTTGCCTGCGGTTTGGGTAGGGAACTGCACCAGGAAAAGTGACAATGAAAGTAAGATCGCTATATTCAAAACTCCTGTGCTGCTTCACTGTGATGTAACGTAATGCTGAGAGGTCGGATCACTGGTCTTCCATCAACTTTAATGGCTTCAAATCAATCTCCCTTTGAGAAGGGTTTTTGTGTGTGTCCCCTTCTTCACTGCACTAGACCCAGCTTCCTGCTTTGCAAACTTTTACTACAAATAATGTAACAAGTAAGGGCAATAAGCAAATACTGAGAAATCTTCTGCTACAACTCTGAAATAGAACATGAATTCTATAGTTAATTAACTGTGCCACAAAGATATTAAGGACATATACCTTCTCCAGCAGACCTCTTATACAATTCATTATACTCTGATGTCTTCTTTGCAGGTGATTGGATCCCTTTAGCTCATAAGGGATGGGAAAAGAGCTTGTACTATTAGTCTGAACTACCTTTTGAAAAGAAAAGATACCATCACAGTGCATAGGAACAGTTAGTGCACTGAAGTCTTACTAGCTTTTAAAATGTATTTATAGGTGTGCTTAGTTTTCTATTCTTAAAAAAGCACAGCTGCTTCTGTTGGCTCTGGAGCACAAGAATACAAGGTGCTGCCATGTTAAGCTGGCCTCCCAACCTGCTGCAGTCTGCTTACGCTGTTTTAGAACAAATTGTTGAGCAATTGCTTTTGTAGTTCCTAAATAAAAATGTATTACTTGTATCTTGGCGACAGAGCAGTTCATTTGCAAAGATAATAGGTATCTACAATCAACAATGTCTTTTTTTATCAAGCTGTTATTTTAAGGTTCTGTAATACCTAAGTGTAACTTAATTGCTCTTGTCCAGGTTAATTCCAGTAAACTTTGAAAACACTGGGCTGAGCTGAGAGTTGTAGCTGTCAATAGGGGCCTGGAAGCATTTTAGCATAATTTATCTACCATGTGCTAGCCTTTTTGGTGTAATACTCTGAAGCTATACTGCAAATCAATCTTTGCTTGAGAGTGCTGGCTAAGTGTGTTTGAGGTTCTGTGGAAGCTGGTGTGAGGACACACAAAGGTAGAGAGATCTGCTGGAAGATTTGCTATTTTGCCCCAGACCAAAAGATTAAATTATTTTTGTATTGTTCTCCCAATTGGTATATGAATGGAGGAAGGGAAAACATGGCTTTAAACAAATATTTCACTAACAGAAGAAATTTGATAAAACGTGCAGTAGTAGGACCCAGTAGTGCTAGCAGAGTTAAAATATCTCTGCGTTTCCATAGTGAATAATGAGACAGGTTCTGAGGATTGCTTGGTTAGCACCCAACACAGCCTGATGCTGGGGACCACAAAGTTATCTGGTAATGTCATGATCCTTAGGCTGCTGGGTTGCAAGGGAAGAGCAAGAACAGCTGTAAGTTGCATTAGTGTCAGTAGTGCCCCTGGTGCTCAGCCTGAAAGACCTGAAGGTGGACTGTATTTTGGATCTCACTGTAGTCCAGAGTAGAGATCATAATGTGAAGGCATATTTGGCTAGACACTTTTGCTATTAGGTCCGCTCTTCAGTCATCAGAACAAAGCACACTTAGTAAGGCCGTTTCAAGTGTATTAAATCTTAGCAGCAATTTATTTGGGAAAAAAAAACCAACCAGTGTAATTTTGAACTTCATTATTTTTGTGTGAAACAGGTGTTGAATGGCATTTTAAATAATATTTTAGCTTTGCATTTTTATTGCAATGCTACTATTTTAAAATATTTTTTAAAATTTTTATCATTAGTGGCATGTTTAATGTCACTAGCTCATTTTGTTGGAAGCAATGCTTATGTCAACAAGTAGAACAATGTAAATTAAAAATTTTTTAAGTGCTGCAGGCATAGTTGAGGTGAATACTATGACAATGATAAGTAGGATCTTCTCTATTAATAAATCTTACATTGCCTGCATTACTACATTGGATATGGCATTTATCTGTGTTTGTGCTTTGAATTTTCTTTGTTGTTGGAGCCATAAGGTTGAATGTAACATGACAGCTGGGAGTTTATAAATGGTGCATTTATGAGCAATGTTTAATATGTTAAAGCTCTATGAAAAAAACTAATGACATATTTTTACAGGATTTATAATGTTATGTATTGGGGCAGACTTTCTAACAGGACCCAAGAAAGACCTTAGCTCTATCTTTGAAGTGAAAAGCAACCAAAAGCCACTGTTCAAAAAGAGTAAAAACTGTATTAAACTACGTAAGTATAATTTTACTTCCTTTCTTCCATGACTCTAAGAATACTGTCTGAGGAAAAAGAGTAATGCAATGGAGTGTTTTGCTCAGATGTTTTAGAAATGTTCTTTTGGTGCTAGTTCAGAGCCAGACTTATAGTTGATATTGCCCTAGTTCCCAGTTTAAGGACATATAATACCAGAGGAGCTGATTCACTATGATTACAGTTGAGAGAGAGGCTATTCCTCATGGACTGTGTGAAATGGCGACCAAAAAAAATGAACTGGGGGAAAAAAATTGTGAAAATGGATTTGTGATTTCATTTTGGTGGTTGAGGAGGATGCCTTTTTGCATCTTCGGATTTATTACATGTGTATACAAAAGATATAAATGATTTCTCAGTCCATTTGGTATGTTGATTTTGAAGCAGTTCAGTGTGACATCCTTTACAGGGCTGTGTGATCTGGCTGGCAGTGGGGTGGGACTGGGCTGGCCCAGGCGCTGCTGAATAAAGCGATGCTCCTCCCGCATGAGGAGGCAGACCTGCAAAGCCTGTTGTGGCTGACATCACAATCCTGATGCCTTGCTGCACATTCAAACCAGGCCTGTGCTCAGGAAACCTTTGTCATCTCCTGCCTGTGAACTATGCCTAGGGATCCCAGCTTTCCAGATTATATGTATGAGGTCTGATTTTTCCTTTAGGTTTTGAAAAGAAACTGAAATGTTTGAGGTTTTACTGCTTTTTAGCTTTTAAGCCTCTGGAATGCATCCAAATGATGCTTTCAAGTATTTCTCTATAATCATTTGAGCTTCAGATTTGTTTTTATTGTTAGCTTACTTATTCTAAGGAAAAAGTCTGTCAATATTGTGAAGTTTGGTAAAGGAAAAAATTGTTAGGGCATTAGGGCATGCTAACCTTACAGAGATCAGGATAGTGAAGGTTCAAATTCCTGCATCTTTTTTTTTTTTTTTCTCTGTGACTTTGAATCAAATCACTTCTCATTTGCATACCTCATTTTGCCTCATTGGGAAAGCAGAAACAATAGTGCTTCACCACTTTTCAGGGCTGTTTCTGAAATCTTTATGAAGGTCTTTACCCTATATACTCAGGGGCCGGAAGAATGTGGCCCTTGACACTTCGTGTGTTGGAGGCAACATGAGCACCGGTACAATTGGCTTGAATATTACTACTCAAAAACATTTCACAGAAGTAAATACTTCAAGATATCTGTCACAAAGCACAGCCCTTGTACTTCCTCATCATGCCCAGACTTGTATTGTTTCCTAGCTTCCCCTTTAAGCACCTTTGCATCTGGCAGAGAATGAAATTGCTTGACATTTACTAACGTAAACAGCATGTCCTTTCTTCTGACGTCATCCATGGTAAAATTTATTTCAATTTTACACGAAATTGTTCCAGAAAACTTGCATTAAAATAATTACGTATCTGTTTAAAGATTTGTTGAAAGAATAAACTGGAGTTTATCATAAAAATGAAATCATTGTAGATACTGTGTGCTACTGTGTAAATTAAATAATTGCAGAGGGTCTTGATCATCAAATTACAGTGTGCCAAACCCTGAGAGCTCTTAAGTGTCCACTGTGGTTATTTGGAAGGCTACAGGTGCAGTGGGAAAGCTCTGAATTTGCATTCTGTAAGGCCATAGTGCCTTTCCAAGAATGTGTCAAACAAAGGACTGCTCTGGAGGTCTGACATCTAAAGGCTTGTGAAGGAAACTAAATTTTCTTCCATGCATTGTATTAATATAAACCAAAAATTGTATACTACAAATGCATACCAGGAACACAGAGGGGAAAACACTGGAAGATTTACATGGTGCTCTTAGTCATCTCCTATAATGAATTCTTCGATAGATATAATTTTTACATAAATATTCCAAGGAGTTTTTGTATGTTGTATCTGCTCAGCCTGTTGTGTTTTGGAGAACGTAAGTGTGCCTGCACACATAACAGGTATTCTGCACACACAGATACTCTTA